TTAAAATTTCTGCATTGAACATGATGTCAACTGTGGTTTTCCTATGAGTTGAGTTAATCTCAAATGAAGAAACTTACCTTCTATTATAATTTTCTAGAGAAGTTTTATTTATATTTTTGATGACAGGGTGTTGCTTTTTGTCAAGTGTTTAGGGCGTAAATGTATGTATTTTCTCCCTTTGTTGTCTTGATGAGATTCATTATATTCCTTGATTTATTGAATATTAAGCCCTTCTGGCATTTCTGGAATAAATATTATCCTTTCTATAAATTGCTGGGCTCCATTTGCTAATATTTTGTCTGTAATTGTTGCATCTACATTCATGAGCAAAGTTAGCCTGTGATTTTCTTATCTTGCTATGTCCTTTTTCCGATGTTGGTATCAAAGTGATGCTAGTCTCTTAAAATGAGTTTGGAAGTGTTCCAGGGATTCAGCTCTTGGCCAGATTTAGCTCCAGAACTCCCTTTCTCAACTCTACTTAGGCTGGAAGCTAGTCTAGGATGCTTCCACCCGACCTTCTACTGTCTGTCCTTCACTCAGGATCACACTTATCTTCATCAGCTGACTCTTCAGCCTTCCTGGCTCCCTCCCCATTTTCTCTCAGGCTTTTGCCCTGATCACATCTCTGCGCATTTAATTGTGTCTTGGTGTTTGCTTCTTGGAAGACCAGACTAGCCTACTAGTTTTATAATACACTTCTAGTTTATGCTGGGCAGAATTTGTGCTGGGCAAAAAATAGCACTCCACAATCTACCTTTAGCTATGAACAGAATCAACATAGAAAGCAGTTTTCCCAATTTCTCAGTGAGCACTCCAGCAGTGAGCCAGTTGGGCATCCCTGCTGATCAGCACAAAGGGGCTGAGACTGGCATGACCAAATGTCAGAGGTAATTTAATATTTACTGTGGTGTAATTATTTGTCAAGAAGGAGCCTATGCGGAAGGGGAAAATGAAAGCTGCCCAACAAAAGAGAAGAAAACAGGTCGTGAGCCTGAGAGCACTCTGAGTAGCTCTGATCTCCGGGCTGGAGTTTCTTTGAAACCTGGAGCCCTGAAGGTAGAGCCCACTCTGGTGACGCTTAGATAGACGAAGAGCCGTGTGCTCACTGCTCCAGGAGACTCCGAAAGATGACCTTTCGCAGAGCCATGAGAGTAGGGAAAAGCCAGGGGGCCAGTAGCCCAGATGCAGCATGTCTCAGTAGCAATCAGACGCTGGAATCCCAGATGTGCTCACTCTGTCCCCTGCTGCGATGTAGCAGAGCAAGCTGGAGCTTCTCAGGAAATTGCAGATCCCGAAGAGGAGGAGATAGGGAGGCGCTTGCTTGCAGTCTGTGGTTTGAGCTTCCCCTGCTGCTGATGGCCTGGACCACGCTGAGGAGGCAGGCGGTACAGACTGAAAGACCATCGGCCACGCTCCCCGGATAAAGCACAGTCTTGCAACCAGCATTGCCTAGGAAATTTCTGAGATGAGAAAAGGTGGTTATATCTTCGCTCCCTTTGGTACAGAGAATGGTTGTATTTGCAAAAGCCAAATGGATGAGGATAAGGTCCATTTTTTTTTTCTTTTTTTCCAGGTCTCACGAGCAAAGTATATCCATGTCTCACCAGTAGAAAGAGGTTCCCCACAATTCCAGGTCCAAAAAGAGAAAGCCAGATTACTCCCTGGATGATCTTAGTCCAGGTCATCTTCTGACATCAGGCACGGAGCTAGGAAGAACTTTGAGAGACACAAATAAGTAACGATTACATAGTTTAGGTCGGTGGCTTTTCTGTGTCTCCTCCAGTGAAATGAACCCTTTTGGTTCTGAAGTTTGTAAACGTACGTGGTTCTATCACTTGCATGTCTCCAATCTCGTTCTTTGCTCTTCTCTTTCTCCTGTTTCAGTTGATATGGTCATGGTGAGAACTACAATTTAAACATCCAGCCCAGACATCCCTCATGTATTCCACACTAAGGCATCCACCTGCCGATCCAAGAGGCCCTTCCATTCCCTATACATGGAACCCTCGTGTATATAATTTACACGCCAACACTCTTCCCAAGACCACAGCCAGGCAAAGGGCAACAATCGCTCCGTCAGTTTCTATGCTATCATGCTGAACATCATTTTAGATGATCTTTCTGCACTACTCATACCCAGTAAATGACCTCACCGCAGAGCACTGAGCTGGTGCTCCACCTCGGTCCACTGTACCAGCCTGAGCACACTGACCCCTCAGAGACTGTGAATACTGGGCCGGCAGAGGGTTGTAGTTTCTCCAGGGAACTGTACCAGGCTAAATGAGAGTAGTTTCACAGGGCGGACTGTGTGGCTTACCCTCCCCCTCCAAGGGCAGGAGGAAAGTCCAGCGCCCTTGCCTTATGGAGGGACTGACTCTGGTAACATTTGTGCTCCTGACTTTCCACCTGGGTTGAGTCAGACTGGAGCAGAGTTTTTTTCTCCCATCTGTGCTGTTCCCATGCTCCACGTCTCCTGAAGCCTTCCCCCAGCAAATCATCAGAGGAAGAGCTCTGGCTCCACGGGATCCAACCAAAGATGCACATCTTACTGACTCACCCTCTTCCCCTTTGTCAAATTTAGTGACTTTCTCCATCAGAAATGCCCCACCCTGAAGGTTAAGTTCCTCAATATCTCACGCTGTGATTTATATAACCATTTCATGAATGGTATCACTCTTTTTGTTTATTCTCTTTCTATATTATAGTCAAAATGAATCTGTTCCTTTTGTTTCACTGCCTATGAACCCTATATGGCTTCACATATCAACCTTCTGTCTAAATGTGCTTGTCCTTCACAGTTGGGCCTCTTCTCCCTCTTACAAGATTTATTTCTGAGTGACCTTCAACTCCCCTGCCAACAGATGTGCCTAAATTCCAGATGCTGAGATGTTCTTGTCCTCCACTGCCCCCTTTCCACAGCTCACTGCTGCTCATCTGTCCCACATCAGCTCAGAATTTTATTGTCTGGCGACTTTCCCTGAATTCACTGGGCTCTGTTGCTACCGTCTGTTTACCTGCTTCCTTCCTCCCCTCAGTGGCAGAGTGCTTGAGAGGTGCTCTCTGTCCACCCAGGGTCTCCGTTACCCAGCACAGTGCCTGCTATGAAATGCCCAAGAAATTGTTTCTGAAAATGTTATGAAACGAGACATACGGGTATGTCGTAAAACTGCCTGTTACTCAGAGATGAGTTTGTGAGCCGATTTAGAGAGAGATTTGAGTTGATTTGTGTTCTTTCACAAATGTCAAACTGAATGAGTTGGAGAAGTCAATCCACCTGGGATGATTTGAGTGTTTCCTCAGATGTGTCAAAGATACACTCTTTTATGTGATCTGCAGGATATTGGAAAGAGAGTTTATATATATTTTAATAAGCTTTCAAAGCCTCTTCCGTCATTTAAGGAAGAACAAAATGCAGGCTGTGGGAATCAATGCATATTCTAGAGGCTTGCGCAGTATCATTAAATCTGAGAAGTAGAACAACGTTCACATGAGCAAGTTTGCAATCAGCCTTTCTGGAATTACAGACTGCTTTCCCAACTCCTGTCTGGAGGACTCTGGATATATTATTTGGCCTCTCCAAGGTTCTCATCCATAAAATAGGGGTGAAACTTTGTACTATGCAGTCTGTCCTGAGGATTAAATGAGCTGATGTATGTCATGCTAGGTCATTGCCTGCAAGGATCACAGAATCATTTTCTAAAAACAACTATTCATGTTACTACGTGTTCCCACACCTTTTAAAAAAAAATTCTCTATAATAATGTACTGTGTCATTTTGGGCAGTGGCAGAAGGAAAGCATCAGAATAAATAAAATCTTCATAGAGTAGGCAAGCAGGGCCCATGCTGAGAAGACAGAAGGATCCCAGAAACAACACACAAGCTTAAATACCAGGGAAAACAGCCACCTGCCGAGAGAGGAGCCTGCAGACAGCGCTGGCTTGCACACCCCTGGGGGAGATGTCCTGGGCACGCCGTGTCTCCCGCACCTGCCCCGCCTGTTAGGAAGGGGCAGCCTCGGGCACAGTGCATCAAGCCTGTTGCTATGCATCAAGCCTGTTGCCCCTCACACACCAGACAGGAGCAGATGTCTCTGGAGGGGCTGGGAAATGATCAGCTGTCTCTCCCTGGGTCCTGGCACTTCGTCCTGCACAAGGACAGGGGAGCAATGTCTGCTCCCTCACGCCTGCCCCTCACCAGCCCTGCCCCCAACAGCCTGCTGCCCAAGCCACAGGCTGCCACCATCCACGGCTGTGAGGTGTTCTCACCTGGGCAGCTCTGGGCAGCCCCGCCATGGGGGTGTGTGTGGGGGGGGTCTGGCCGAGCCGCACCTGCAGGCCCTGTTTGTACTTCCCTGAGTCCCCGTGCTCATGGCGGACTCACTGAGGTCAGGACGTCAATGTCATCAGTTCTGGCTTTGCCAGGGGTACGGGCTCCCCCTGCACCATGTGGATCCCAGGGGCACATCCCTTCCCTCTCCGTGATGCTCTGTGATTCGCTGAGCCCAGAAACATTCTGACCCCAACTGTAGTAAACGTGCAGTCATGAGTAGGAAGCAGTGCAAGGATGAGCACTTAGCCTGGCACAGCCGGGAGAGGCCCAGCTGTCCTTGACCTTATTAGGGCTCCTGCCGTCCCCCCACACCCACGGTCACCAGCAAAGCGCAGGAAGAAGCACCTGAGGATCACCAGTGGTCGCTTCCTGAATATTTTCAAACTCCACTCTACACTGATAATAAAAGATCATGCGGTGGTAGAGTCAGAATCTTGGCTATCCATGATAGAAGTTTCTAGAAAAGAGCCGGAGGGGGACTTCTGGGTGCTGGCTAGATGCCTAGAACCAGTTGCTACAACTCACTCATTGTATTGTGTTCCTTCCATTTATAAATTTACTGCGGAACTGCGTCAGGGGCTGGGGAAGCACACGGCCTGCAGTCCTGGGCCAGACGCAGCTCTGAGTGGGATGAGTGCAGCCTCCACTCAGAGTTGTAGCACGTCCTTAATGCCACTTACAGAGATGGCTCCTTTCTCATTTGTCCATTCAAGCGGAGCAGGGAAGCCGATTTTGAGATTCACCACCACCCGGCAACACCGACTGGCTGAGATAATCCTTCGCAGGTCTCCACCCAGACCCCTCCCTTCTGAGCGGCCGGCCCGCGGGGACCGGGAAGGAAAACACTGGGATGACTGTTGCTGCCTGAGCCTGGACGGCAGCTGAGTCAGGGAGGCTTTAGTGGAAGGAGGGGAGGGACGTGGGCTGTGGATCAAGCACAGAGGAATGGGAGCGTAGTAGAGCCTGCAAGGGGTTTCCCATCCATTCTGGAAGGATGCCTCGCAGTAGCACCTGCTGTCCGCAGGGGTGTCTCCCTGAGGACCCAGCCTCAACCTTGTCCTGCCCGGTGGTGCGCTTGTCTAGCTCACATTGTTTCTATTCAGTTCTTCGAGTCCCTCAGTATAACATCTGTGCTTCCTCCAAAGTAGAGTGTGCGTGAGTGCATGGGTATCTTCTCCACCGCAACGTCTCCGCTTGCAGAGTTCCTAATTAGGCCTAGAGAAGATGTGGACCTGAGGAATTCCATGAAGAAAACACCAGATTGAATTGCAAGGTACAATTTAATAGAGTTTCAAACAAGCCAATTTAAGTGTATATTGTTTTGGAATGTTTCCATATGTGATAAATGAAAATAAAGCAGGGAAATATTGTTTTACCTTTTGATATTTATTTCTAAATTAACTGTATTTTTTCAGATAATATGGTTTTTACCATACTTTTATTTTTGAACTATGTTTTTAAAATATTTTTTGAGACCTTACGGCCCCACAGTGTTTTGTACACCTTCTTAATAACACATATATTCTTTAATTTTAGGATGTAAGCATCTATACAGGTTTTAAATTATTAATTATATTGTTCTAAATGTTTTTACAGATTTCTGGTATTATTTACCTATCAGTAAGTGAAAAAGATACATTGAAATTTTATGCTGGTGGATATGTACATTTCTCCCTGTGGTTCTATCACTTTTATTTTATATATTTTAAGATTGTGTTAGTAAGTATATACAGTTAAGAATTATTTTATTATATGATTTGGACATTTTATCACTATATAGAAACCCTCTCTGGTTGCAGTTACGCTTTCTTGTCTTCATTGTTTTGTCTTGTATTAATCGGTTTTCCTACATTCTTAGTGTTTTTGTAAGTCAAGGTATCTTATTCCACAATCTTACTGTTAACCTGATCTGTCATTATATGTTGGGTTGGCCTCTAGAAGAGGGAAAATAGCAGTATTTAATATTTAGTTTCCTATAATACATTATTCATAGGCAGCAAAGAATAATAGTTTGCTCTGGAATTACTTTTCCTGAGTTTGATGCCTACTTCTATTAATTGCTAGCTCTAAGACCTTGGAAAAGTGATTTACTTACTTATTGCTTTCTCAGCAATAAAACAATGGTAATAAAATTAAATTATTTAATATTTGTGAAGCATTATATAAATGTTTGATGTTTGAAAGAGTAAAATGTCTTCCAGACTGAAAGAGTGAAAATCAGCTCATACTGAAAAAGAAAAAAAAAGTATTTCCCAGGCTGAGAGAACATACACAGATAAAGCAGTGAACAGGCGGCACCCTTTCCTCCAAGGTCATGGAGCAGCTGAAAAACACTGTAAATGCCCCCTCTTGAAATGACTACTACTTTCATACCAATGATGTCCCCAAACCAGTTTTGATGTATCTGTCTGTTACTGGGAATACTCAGTTGCCAAATCACCTTGGACTCATGATTGCACCCAATTCTTACTTAATGCTGGCTTCTCCTAATTACTCATCCGATCTCAGAAACGTTAACACTCCTGCTTCCCTGAGCCGCTACTAGGAGTCCTTCAGCAGAAACCCAAACATTACAATAGACGCTTCATATCTTTCACTTATATGAGAGACCATTCCATGGTTCCCCTGGAATGTCCTCCGTCTATTCCTTGACTAACAAATCAGATTTATTTAGCCTACAGGTTTGTTTCGAGAGATCTGGTGGTTCCTGGATAAAGCTGCTTAGGCATGAACGTGTTGGTGTAGGATATACGGGTATACTTGGATTTGTATCCAACATCTCTTTGAGTTGTATTTTTCCCATATTTGTGCCTATCATTTCTTCTTCTTTGTCTTTTTTGACTAGACTTCTGCTTTTGCTGATTCCCCCTTTTATTTTACTGTTCTCCCCTACTCAGCAGTGCAGGATTCATTCTTTCAGTTCTTTGTGTGCATATTATGGAAAATTTCATCATACATGGTTGACTTTGCAGAGCCTGAAGTTAATCTATTTCATAACCTCCTCCAAGCACTAGAGCACTCTAACGCATTTTACATCTAATTGTTTCTGCCTCTTAAACTATTCCGAGCCAGTGTTTTAATTCCTACCTTTTCAATCAACAGAGCAGACATCATATGTCAGCATCATTATTCTTACACTGGCAATATTTGCTTATGTTTACCTATTTACCAATTTCTGTTTTTTCACTTACAGTTTAACTGTCCTAGATTTTCTTTTTTTGTAATTCTTCAAGTGTGAACTTGAAGATTCCTTGGTAAAGCTTTGATAGTGCGATCTTGCTGTTTTACTTCATCTCATATGATATGTATTTTATCCTCATTCTTGAAAGATGAATTTACTCTGTATAACCCTCTAGGTTGACAGCATTTTTTACCCAACCGTTTCAGAATACATCTTATCACTTCGGGCTTTTACATTTTGCTTTTGAGAAATCTATGTCAATTTGCACAAACTTTCCTCAGAAATCTTTTTTCTGGTTGCTTTAAAATCTTTTACGTTTTTGTGTTATAAATTGCACTGCAATGCATCTGATGAGATCACCTTCTATTTAATCTGCTAAGACTGTGTTGTGCTTTCTGTGTCTGTGGGGATCTTGTCTTTCCTCACTTCTGGAAAATTACCATCTCCCATCCCCTTCCTTATTACAATGACATTTAGCCAAAATTCCAAGCCACCTCAAGGCGGTAGTCATTTTTCTCTGGGTATCTCCATGTGTCCGTGAGGTATACGTGATAATAAATGCCTGCTTGCTCCTCTCTTGTCGGCCTGTCTCTCATTACAGAGGTCCCAGCTTGGAGCGCGGAGGGGAGGAGGAGAATCTCCCCCCACCAAAGCCCCGCGGGCACAGGAGGAGCGCGGGCAGTCCTGTCCTCAGCACACCCGCGCTGGTGACGTGCTCAGGAGACAGACTCT